GGAAGTCCAAGAATTTAGTTAAGTCAAAAGGGGCCCAAGGATTCAATCCCTGGGCTGTGCGAATGCAAGCCAAGTGTTGGGCCTGCTTTGTGCCCGACACCAACGTGCTCTAAGGGGCTGTGTCCGTAGCTTTGGCCTGGTTGGGCTTTGTGAGCTCAGGGCCCATTCGCTTGGTATTTCTGTCCGGATTTTCAACTTCAAATTCAACAAATTGTAGGCCTAATCAATTAGAATCCTCAAGTAGTTAACAACACAATTATTTCATTGCGTAGACTTGGAAAGGATGTTTAGTGAATTTCACCGCCTTTCCCAAAATAACAATACGTTAGAATCTTTAAGCACGCTCTTAATAAAATTACATTCTTAAACTCGGGTGCGCATTGATGCGACCCAAATCCAAATCTCGATGAAGCCGAAATGTGTCGATAACCGCGGGTGCATTGATTGCGACGTGGTTTGAAATGTNAAGTTTGGGGTGGTAAATCCCATGCTTAATAGCCTCATATTGGGTTAGTTTTGGGCCTGGCATTCTGGTAGGAGGTCCAAGAATTTAGTTAAATCAAAAGGGGCCCGAGGATTCAATTCCTGGGTTGTGCAAATGCAAGCCAAGTTTTGGGCTGGCTTTGTGCCTGACGCAATGTGCTCTAAGGGGACGTGTCCGCAGCCTTGGTCTGGTCGGGTTTTGTGAGCTCATGGTCCATTTGCTCAGTATTTTCGTCCGGATTTTCAACTTCAAATTCAACAAATTGTAGGCCTAATCAATTAGAATCCTCAAGTAGTTAACAACACAATNGGTATTTCTGTCCGGATTTTCAACTTCAAATTCAACAAATTGTAGGCCTAATCAATTAGAATCCTCAAGTAGTTAACAACACAATTATTTCATTGCGTAGACTTGGAAAGGATGTTTAGTGAATTTCACCGCCTTTCCCAAAATAACAATACGTTAGAATCTTTAAGCACGCTCTTAATAAAATTACATTCTTAAACTCGGGTGCGCATTGATGCGACCCAAATCCAAATCTCGATGAAGCCGAAATGTGTCGATAACCGCGGGTGCATTGATTGCGACGTGGTTTGAAATGTGTTTTCGCGACATCGTAATCTTAAAAATAAATAATGATAGAAAAGAGGTTTACAAATCGAGACGGGCCTTACCACACAAAATAAATAAATGTGGGGCCCTCAATAATTGGTTATTAAAAATGATTAGAATTTGAGATGGCCATTTAGCGAACTCCACGGTCTTCCCCAGAATAATATTACGTGAAAACCTTAGGCGCGATTTAATTAAATTACTTCCTTAAACTCGGGTGCGCATTGATGTGACCCAAATTCAAATCTCGACGAAGTCGAAATGTGTTGACAACCATGGGTGCATTGATTGTGACGTGGTTTGAAACATGTTTTCACGACGTCGCAGTTCTTTTAAAATAGATAATGATAAAAAGCGGTTTACGAATAGAAGGCACACATAAGCTAGCATGTATTGAAATCAGATAAGATCAAATACAACAGTTAAGCGACCGTGCTAGAACCACGGAACTCGGGAATGCCTAACACCTTCTCCCGGGTTAATAGAATTCCTTACTCGGATTTCTGGTTCGCGGACTGTTAACAGAGTCATATTTTCCTCGGTTCGGGATGCAACCGGTGACTTGAGACACCATCAATATCCCAAGTGGCGACTCTGAATGATTAATAATTAAATCCCGTTTCGATTGTCCTTTAATTGGAGAAACTCCTTTACGCCCTTTTGCGGGGTGTAGGTGTAAAAAGGAGGTGTGACATCTGTATTGTCTAACACTTTTTCTAGAGGTATTAAGAGTGGTGGGTCGAAGATCTTACTGGTTATATTTACATATAACTCACTCCTTACCTGCATGTCTATGCAAATACTATTGGTGAAGACGGAGCTAATCGCTGACGAGTTCGCTAGAGTTATTTCTGTTATTCAGGTGGGCTGTCGCATTATTCCTAGAGGCTGCCAGAAAAATCTTTATCATTTATTCATATGATGTCTTTTGTAATTCTCTTAGATGCTCCATGGTCTAGTGTAGAATTTGGGCTAGATTTTTAATTTAATATTTTGAGATATTAATTGTTCATAATTAATTATCAGATTATTTGGATACTCATTTAATTAATCAAATATTGCAAATTAATAGATAACGTATGAAATTATGGTTTGTTGGGTAGGTGGTGTTAGCTGGGCGCCATTCACGTCTAAGGGAGAATTTGGAACGTGACAAAGTTGGTATCAGAGCATAGGCTTTAAGTCCTAGGTCATGGAGCACTGTTTAGTAGAGTCTTGTTCATGGGTATGTAGACGTCCATACTTATGACCTTGAGGCTACTGAACATCTAGGATGTTTTCTCTTCTTTCATTTATTATTCATGCATTGAGCTAAATCAAGTTGAACCTTGGGATGTCTTTTCGTAGACGACTAGGATATGCATATCCTCCTTTGTTAGACAACACTGGAAGTTTGAAAAATAGTGCAACTAAGAGTTGCCTTCGGTACATGGGATATTATGTGCTTCGGTTGTTGATGAGATTGGAAGAACAAAAAAATTGTAAATTTTGGGATAGCTTATTTCTAAAGAAACCTTGCCCAAACTCTTTTTTTAAAAGAACTTCGAGGGTTAGCCAATATTTTGGACATTAATTTGTAAAGTGGTCCAAGGATATAATTTTTTCTTAAGAGTAACTTATTCAACATTCGAGGTTATGTGTACAACTCTCCTTTATGAGCTTGATCAATAGAGGGAAATAGTTGAGCAGGAAAGTAATAATTTTAATGTAATAGCTTAGCTAGCTCTAGCTTGTTAGGATTGATTGTGAAGGATATTTTTAAGAAAGTACTTATATGGTTATATGCTAAATGCCTCTTGAAGTGATTTAGTATTATTAGTGATATTGTAATGGTGACATTATAAGTGTGACCATGATGTAAGAGTATATATTTCAAGTGCATTGAGTATAAGCATAGTAGTAGTACTGCGCGATGCAAAACCTGTTGATGGTGAGAGTCGTATAGGAATTCTAGATTGTAAGAGAAAATAATACTTGTGTATGTGGTTATGCACCAATATACTAAAAAGTTAAAGCATGAAACTTAGCACATAGTGGAATTATACATGGAGTAGTGAGACTGCCACTCATCGGAACGAAATAGATGAATACTAAATGAAGTTGAGAAAAAAAAATGAAATGACATGACTATCTTTGAGAAAAGTAATCAGTTTGTACAGTTTTATTATCATATGTTGTGTTTGATAAAATATATAATTGAGGATAAGAGGATATGTTGTGTTTTATGAGTTGTATATGAAGATTTAAAAAAACAAAGATTTGAGTACTTGGATCTATCATTTGGTTTTAGCCTAAGTGGGAGAGTTTTACTATTGGAACGATCTATAAGATATATGTGCATAGGGTTCAGAGTTGTGATACACATATGAACTTGTGATAACTTAGCATGGTTAACTTTAGGTTATCTTGGGCTTGGATTAGTCGACTTTGTATTTCCCTACACTTGCTTGCCATGAAAGATTGTCGAATTTTCTATTTTGATTGAGCCTAGTATAGAGGATTCATTTGGTATGCCTCTAGGCAAAGCTACCTTGTCAATAAAGATTCTAGACATGATAAGTAAGGTTATGTATTTATTTAACTATAAATTGGGGTACCACAGTAGAGTAATCGACTATTGAATTAGTCTTTATGATTATTAATGAATTTCCAAATGTATGTTCAGAAGACTTATTGAGTGTACCACTTATTAAGGAGATAGACTTGGAAACTAATATATTTTTAGAAACTTAGTATATTCTTGTTCTCTATTATAGAATGGATTTGTGGAATCAAAGGGATTAAAAGAAAAGAAGAAGAAAATTGGAAGGTTTCGGGATTAAGAGGTCACTAGACCAAAAATATCATTTTGAGGTGCTTAAGTTATGTTCGTGCCACGACCCGGAATTCCCACCATAGGGACCGTGATGGCGCCTAACATTTACTTGCATGGCATCTCGTATTGGACTTGGTGCGGTATTGATGCAGGGTGGCAAGGTAATTGCATATGTTTCACGGCAGCTGAAGATCCACGAGAAGAATTACCCTGTTCATGATCTAGAGTTGGCAGCCATTGTTCATGCGTTGAAGATATGGAGGCACTATCTTTACGGTGTGTCATGTGAAGTGTTCGCGGATCATTGGAGCTTGCAGTATTTGTTCAAGCAAAAGGAGCTCAATTTGAGGCAGAGAAGGTGGTTAGAGCTATTGAAAGACTATGATATCACCATCTTGTATCATCCCGGGAAGGCCAATGTGGTGGCTGACGCTTTGAGTAGAAAGTCAACTAGTATGAGCAGCCTTGCGTATATTCCAGTTGGTGAGAGACTGTCACACCCCAAACCTAGGGAGGCGTGGCTGGCACCCGATGCCGCACTGGCCCGAGCGAACCACTCTGTAACTCATTTCTTCTTTTTGTGACTATCATGGGCCAACATGGCCACAGCTAGTATGTACAATTGTAAGTGAGAAAACACTATATCATTTAACCCTTTTCCTTAAAACATTAATACATTTGGGCCGTCAAGGCATCTGACATACTGTACAAAATGAACCTCTGTCTACAAAGCCTCTAAGATCATTTGGCATCAAATGGGACAGGGTACTGGCCTACCCATAATTCTGTAGAAAACTTCTGACACAATGACTCATAGACTCGGCTGCACTCCGAATGAGGTAGAGTTTTACCGATCCTTCGCTGAAGCCAATCTCGTCTACTATGAAAGTTCGTCAAACTGTTTTTCTATACCTGCAGGCATGAATGCAGAGTCCCCAACAAAAGGACGTCAGTACGAATAATGTACTGAGTACGTAAGACACATAAATAAGTATATAAAAGACCTCGAAGAAACATGAAGTAAATGACTTAACCTGTAAGTCTAGGTAACTCTGTAAATTATGAAATATCTATAATGTTATGCACATGCATATAAATGTCATATGATGCATAGGTCTGTACGTACATAACATCATCAAGCCTCTGAGTGCATCCCATCATATCATCTAGACCACTGTGGGCAANTACCAGCTGATCAGGTGGTGGTACGTATATAACGTCGTAACCTTTTCCCATATCCCATATAAATATAATATACATATATACGCGTATATAATGCCATCTGGTCATGGGTCAATGTACATGTATAAATGAATGCAATGCGTGAAACGTACGTCAGTAAAATCTTTCGAAGTGTCAAAAGGCTATTATACCTCTGAGTAATATCATGAAACAAACTTCATTAACTTACATATTTTCTGAGACCCATGAACAGATGATAAAATAATAGGACACATGGGAATTCAAGAACATATGCACCTCTAATACTTCTCTGAATATAGTCAATTATGAAAGTTGTGCATTTTCTCGTTTCATTTGTATCGTACGGATCATGCCAAAAAGAAAGAAGGGATAGCCTTAACATACCTGGAGTAGGGAAAAATCCGTATGATATTCTTGGGAAAGATTGTACCGTGCTTCTTCATTGCAATCTATGCAGTAAGCAATGGTTGAGTAGTTATTACTAACATCTGCTTTCACTTCCATGTTTAAGGTAAAAGATGAGCTCTATTTCCGCATCACCTACATTTGCGGCATGTCAAAGTTGCTTCCATTCAACTTCTAAACAATGAACACAATCAAATATATATCCAGCAGGAACATGGTACAACTTCAAGTGGTATACATAATCTTTTATAAATACCAAAAGAATAAAAGTTAAATCACAAGCAATACTTATTTTTAATCTACGTTAAGCATAATCCGCTACCAAACAATGGGTAAGTACTTGAGTTAGAGCTAGAGATTCACATAGAAACACTGACCTTCTCTAGCTCCATTAAATCTTAATCGCAAGGATTTTCAAATACAGACTGTTTTGGCTTCCTTCGAGATATCAAAGACAGCTATTGAAAATCTCACTTTAAATTTGATAACCATTAGAGAAATTGGCTTGACTAGCAAAAATAATATTAACACTGAAGTAACTGGTACTCTTGGAAACCATACTTGGAATATAAATTTGAAAAGTAATAATGGGTGAGGAGTTTTGTAGGAAATTTGCATTCTATCTCATTGATGTCTTGGAAACGTTAGAGAAGATGGAGTAGTGATCCAAAACTTTGAATTTATTAGACAGGTGGTGTATATCTAATATCTTAGTTGCCACGTAAGACTACATAATTACTTAGTCACATGTTCGGTAAGTTTTCTTTTTGCCACGTTTTTCTGGGGGAAATTATTAATCTTTATCCCTTATTAGTTAATTAGGTAATATCCTGTTACCCGGTAATTAATTAATTACCCACATAATTAAGAATTTTCTCAATTACTTAAAATTCAACTTATTTTTGATACACTTTATACACCGTACTATTACGATTATATGGTACCATTTAAAATAAATTCATAAACTATTATTTCATTAAAATATCTATGTAAAAATATATATATTTTCTCAACTTATAATTTTCCTAATCTCATATAATGAGTACAAATTTTCGTATGCTTAATTTTTAAAATGGTAAAAAGATAGTCTTCTTTTCATGAGAGAAAATAATTTTTATCTTTATAATAAAGAAAATCTCATAAATAAAAATCACGTTAGAAGGGTACGTAAATTTCACAAATTAATATCAAATAGAGGAACAAAAAAAACTCCCAATATTCCATTTTTATATGATACTTTTATTCTTTCTAGTCTTTAAAAAATGGTTCTAAAGAATTTTATTTCACCTTTATATTAAATATACTTAAAATTATAAAGATATTATGATAGTTTAAAATTACAAATTATAAGTGAAAATGTTAGGATATGTTTAAAATTATAAATCCTAAGTGGAGTAATACTTTTGATACATGCAAAAATATTTCTTAAACATCTAGTTCTATCACGATCCGAATTTCCCACCCCGGGAGTCGTGATGACACCTACTAGGGGAAGCTAGGCAAACTGACCATTTGCACAAATTACTTCCTTTTCCATTTTAATCCTTTAGCAAGTGTGAATCAACAGTTATAAATAGCGGAAATTTAAAGCAAGCAGAAGAAACGATAAACCATTTGAATATGTATCTCATACAACACCTTAAACAAAATCTACCCAGAACTGGTGTCACGCTTCACAGACAGTCTAGAATTACTACAAACAAGATCTAAAAAATAAATAGTACACTGTTTCGGAAATATGTAAATGAAACAGGATGAAAGGATAGAGGGAGACGCCAGGGCCGGCGGACGCCTGCAGGACTACCTTGGAATCTCCGACTGGACTTAAGACAGCCACCCAAGCTAAGGTCCGAATGTTGCTGCTCCGGGATCTGCACATAGTGCAGAGTGTAGTATCAGCACAACCGACCCCATGTGCTGGTAAGTGCCTAGCCTAACCTTGGCGAAGTAGTAACGAGGCTAGGACTAGAGTACCAAATAAACCTGTGCAGTTATATAATATACAGCGGAAAATAAAGCAGAAATGTACAGTTAAGGATGGGAGGGGGCATGCTGTAGGGGAATATCAATTACCAACAGTAACTCAGGAGAAAAGCGTAAAGAACAATCTAAAATTTGCGGCAGAAAGAATAGGGGAATTGCAACCAATCAATAACCACTTTTATCATTTATTGTTGCGGCGCGCAACCGATCCAAATCATAAAAATACTGTTGCGGCGTGCAACGCGATCCAATTATAATGTTGTTGTGGTGTGCAACCCGACCCAAATATAATATTGTTGCGGCGTGTAACCCGATACCAGTATACCATTCAACACCAATCACAAGAAAAAAGTCCCGACAAGGAAACAATAAGGAAACAACACTATCCCGACAAGGGAATCGACAATATAAGTAAATACGTCCCGGCAAAGGAGTCAGATATAACCAAACTTGTTCCAACATCTAATTTCACAAAAGAAACCTCAACTAGCACCAATACTCAACCATAAGCAACTTCCACGAGAATAATCATAATTCTTGCCCGATCACAGAAAATCAACAATTTAAGCATTCGTAGTACTTATTAAGAACACAACGATTTCAATTTAAGACTCACGGGCATGCTTGACACCAACATATAGATACTCGTCACCATACCTATACGTCGTACTTGACAAATAACACATAGCAAATAGGACACAACTCCTAATCCCTCAAGCTAAGGTTAGACCAAACACTTACCTCGATGCTGTCACACCTCCTTTTTACCCGAAAGGGGATATATGGAGTTTTTCCAATTGAAGTGACATTAATCGAAATGAAATTATTTTATTTATTTTTCAGAGTCGTCACTTGGAATAATTTATTTGGTGTCCCAAGTCACCGATTTATGTTAAAATCCCAAATCGAGGAAATCGACTTTATTTAAAAGTCTGCGAACCAGAAATTCTAGATAAGGAATTCTGTTAACCCGGGAGGTGTTAGGCTTTCCTGGGTTCCGTGGTTCTAGCACGGTCACTTAGAAATTTATTCTTGCTTAAATAAATTATTTAACTACTCATTTTAGGACCTATGTACATTTATCCCTTTAACCGCTTTTAGTTGCTTAATTATTCGTAATTTTGAAATTATCTTAAAAGGAGTTACGCGTACGTGTACTCATTTTGTTTGGCGCGCCAAGAATCATATTACGCGTACATGTCCACAACTAATCACGCTTTATTAATATTAAGAAAGTTTGGTCAAAGTTGCGCGAACGCATACCTCGATTTATTTATTAGGATCATAATAATATTACGCGAACGTGTACACAATCACGATAATAGATTAAGTTGTGCCTAAAGAAAGCTACGAATGAATGAATCAAGGCAACCTATTTTCCTTTTAAGACCTCGTCCAGGTGACCGTGAACGTGCACTCCCACAAGCCGGGGCAGTGACTACTCCTATGATTACACTCTTCCTACAACAGTTAGAATCTTCAATAACAATTTCCCTAGATTTCTTTTTCCTTCGCGAGTAATCCTCAAGCGATAAATGTGACCTGACTACTGTGAATGGACTCGCATCTTTTTGACAAGTAACTGAAATATCTACTCCCTTTCTCTTCTTACCCAAGTTCTCCATGCAAAAATTTAAGTAATTAAGCTACCTCTAAATCATAAGCAGTCCTCCAAACTACATCTAACCAAAAACACCTAGATTGTCAAAAACTATAAAGCTACTAGCTTGATGCCCCAATTAACTATTTCAGTTGTAACAGCCCAACCAGATAAAAGGATCTACCAACCATAAAACAGGTGCATAAAAAGTTCCAACTTTTGTTGCATTCTGCAATTCTTTCTTATAAGCACTATATCCAAAAAGTTGCACCTTTTAACCATAATGAAGATGCTAAATGCCATTACAAAAAGCTATCCCCTTTCAAATTGAACTATCATCATACTTAAAAAATTTCATTTTTAACTATCTATCAAAGAACCCAAATCAACAACACCCAAAATGATTACTTAGAGAGATACAATCTTTTAATTTCCCTTTACCCAAATTCATCTCTACAACTTAATTTCAAAGGCAATTCTAGAATCCGCCAATACCCATTTCAAGAAAAATATAAAAAAAGCGTAACAACACAAAATAAAAGGATAAGATATGACTAATTATAAGTTAGCAAAAGCATAAGAATGGAAAAAGAATTACCAATAATTATGACAGGGGAGATCAACAACCAATCTATTTCCCTATGTTCAAATCAGTACAAAGTTTCTACATCAATCATATCAACAAAACTTGTTTGAGACTCACGAACCAAGACCGAAGCTCGCTCGAACCTAAACTCGCCGGCGGACTCGAACTCAACCTTGGGGCTGCTGTATTTGTGCGATGTTTTGGGCAGAATTTGAGCTGGGTTTTTATTTTTATTTTTATAGTGTTTTCATGGAGTTTTGGGGTGGTTGTTGGCTTATTTTAGGTGAGGTCTTGGAGCTTCTACATGACTGTGAAGATAGAGTTTTCAAGCTGCTCTAATGAAGGAGACAACGATGGCTTTGTGTATGTGTTGCGGCTGATTTCTCGTAGAATGTGAGGATGAAGATCAGAAGTCTCCGTCGTTGAAGCTTAAGGGAAATTATAGCAGGTGAGGGGATCTCTTGATATGTAAAGAGGAGAGGTTTTTGTTCTTCAGAGAATTGGGGATGGGGTGCGCCGTAGTTCATTTGGGAAAGGAGGAGGGGAATCTAATATTGTGTCTAGCTCCCAAAATCTGATGTCCCCCCTTTCTGTATCTAGGTTTTATTAAAGGGCAAGGCTTTGGGTTGGTTAGAGTAACGAGTTCGAAGGGATTTGAGTCTTAAAAATTAATTGGGTCATTTTAGGAATTGACCCAATTTTAAAAGATACAAGACCAAAATATATATTCTTCTCTTTTCTTTGATTTTAAATTCTAATTAAATTAATTAAGATCCTAAATCAATCTATTTTTGTAGAAATTAAAATTCTTTATTTATTTTTAACATTAAAACAACTAATTAACTTAAACTAAAGAAAAATGCTTATTTTAAAGGCTAAAATCTAACTATGACTATTTTTATGATTTTTTACTTAAAAAAATTAATTCCTATATGCAAATTGAACCTAAGATGACATTAAAATAAAACATGACAATTTTTATGATTTTTCTATGATTTTAAAATATTAAAAATGCATGGAATGCAACTAAATAAAGAAAAACTCCTAAAAATCAATTAAAATTATTTTTGGTCAATTTTTTAGGAGTTATTTCTATGCGGGACAAAAATTAGGTGCTCACAGATGCCACGAACATAATTCAAGTCTCAACTATCGCTTTACCTCTTGATTTCACCACCAATTCGCTCGTATCTAGCCACAAGTTACTGAACTATATCAATAAATGCTAAATGAATCAATTCCAATGCATGAAAATAGGTTTTCTAAAGTTTTTCCCAAAAAGTCAAAAGTCGCCCCCGGGTCCACACGGTCAAAACCTGAGGTTCGAACCAAAACTCAATTACCCATTCCCCCACGAACCCAAATATATAATTTATTTTGAAATCGGACCTCAAATCGAGGTCCAAATCCCCAAAATTTGAAAAACCTAGGTTCTACCCAAAACACCCAATTTCCCCCATGAAAACCTTTGATTTTGAGTTGGAA